GGTGAACTTACCACTGAAACATAATTGGAAACTCCATTAAGTCTCGGAGTAATAAAAATGTCCTCTGGGTGGTGTGACATATGAGTGTCCTGGTGTTGGAATGAAAGACTGCAAACATTGAGATGGTTAAGCCAGCAGATCATAACTTTACAGCATAGCATTGAGTCCTGATGTGAAACATCATCTCTCTGTGGCTGTGCGCTAGCGGCGAGGAATTACGCCACTATATTTTGGGCTTCCTCCCACAAACACACCCTCACACTCACATATCACGAGATGCTGAAGGTATTCCAGTCTCATATGACTTGCTGAAAAGCCAACGTGCGGTGGATCACATTTCCTTTTGCGTATGTTTGTGTGTGTGTGTGTGTGTGTGTGTGTGTGTGTGTATGAAATTAAACCTACATCACACACATACACAAGCAAAGACACTGAGAGCCACAACAGTTTGGACATAAATAAGGGTGCCATTATTATGAATGTCATTCACTCTTCAGAAGGCAAACAAAAGATGTCAAAAAATATTTATTATGCCTTAGACTGTGCTGAAGCATGCATGTTTTGATTTTCCACAGTTAAGGGTCAAATGTCACCATTGTTTGTTCATTAGGACACTTTATCTCAGATAACTTCCATAGACTTGTCCAATTAAAGCAGTGTTTTTTTGTTTAATCATGGATAATCATCATCAAGGTTTTTTTTTTTCCGGTTCTTAAGTTATACATAATTTTACATATTAACCTGAAAAAGATCATAAGTGTCACTTCCACACTCAATTTAAGCTATACTAAAAGATACAAAAACAAAACCCAAAAATGAAAAGTTGCTGAAAATTGACTCACCAATAGATCCTGTACAGTGAATGGGTGCCGTCAAAACGAGAGTCCAAACAGCTGATAAAAACATCACAATAATCCACAAGTAATCCAAACCAACAACCAACATCTTAAGTCAAAATCTGTATGTTTGGAAGAAACATATCCATCATAAAAACATTTTTAACTTAAACCATTGCTTCTAGCTAAAAAATACAAGTTCATAATAACACTTCCTCCAGTGAAAAAGTCCATCCCGCGTTGTCTGTTCACATTCAAAAACCTTGTGAATATGCCTCTAACAATGCAATTCAGTATCCTAAAGTCACTAAAAGAGAAAATCGCTAACTGTCTCTAAGCATGATCAAATGACAACACAGTCACTTCTAACAATGACTAGTACTGCAGAGCTCAGGTTTGAGCATGGCTGGGTTTAACATTTTTTGTTTAACATTTCAGTCAGAGTACTGAACTGGCTGAAATGAATGAATGTGACATTTAAAGTATTTTCGTCAAAATGCAAAAACTATGATTGAAACTAACAATGCTGTACTGATGGTCACTAGTAGGCATCTGTACTGGTCTGCAGTATCCAGTGTATCACATGACCTCTGCTTCACAAACACTGGTATTGTCCAAATCACATCACTTCTCATTTACATAAAGTTAAATGGTTGCATTGTTCTGTAAATCACTCAGTGTGAACACGTTTTTATAACGGTATTGTCTTTAACCAGGCACAACATGATATAGCAATATATGACAAAAGCTCTCTATTGCATGTTCATTAGTTTTTTCATAGATTCATAGAATAAATGAGGTCTTATTGTATCCAAACAAACACAACAAGTGACAGGTCATTACAGCTGCTTATATATTTTTTTATTTTTTTATATTCAGTGTCACGCTGGTTTGTACACAGTTTAAGTCCTTACCAGTGTTATGACCTAATACTAAAACAATTCAGTCATTTTCATTAATTGAATTAAAGCTGAAATGAAAAAAATAAAAAATGAACGGTGGATGAAAAACAATTAGAAATAAATACAATTACTAAAAATGAAATATAAATACATTTCAGCTAAATAGAAATATATTTTTTAAAAGTACTAAAATTAACAAAAGCACATAAAATTACTTAAATTAAAATGACAACTGAAAATGTAAGAAATAAGTAAAGTAACTGAAATAGATAAGCTGAATGGAAACATAAAAAAATAAACAGTACTAAAAAAAATGACAAATGCACTAAAACTACAATGAAAACTGAAAATATAAAAATATGTAAACTAACTGAAATAAGTATGTTTAAGTACTAAAATGACAAAAGCTTAAACATAAATAAAGGCTAAAAAAAGAAAAACTAATAAAAACCAACAAAGCACTTCAACTAAATTTAAAATGTTAAAAATCAAGCGTAGCGTTAGTTCTGGCAAGTCACGTTAGTCAAGCTCGCATCAGCTGACTGTCAGCTGATCCCCATCTACCTATAGGAATACGACACCTATCTAAGCATTCATATATAAGGTCCCTCAGTGTTATCAGCAGTTTTCGCATTGCTCAATAGCTAATTACCCTCCTCCATCCCCAGCTCCTCCTCTGTCAGTTGGAATTCAGCCTTCTGATTCTCCTTTGAATCAGACTAATTCTAAAACGTGTACATAAAATTATTGAACTTTAACAACATCTGCAATACATTTATGTTGGTTCTGTTCTGTTTACCCTGGGGGGGTTATCGCTGCTCTCCCAGCTCTCATCCATGCTAGGCTGCATGGATGCGCAGGGAGTTCTTGCCCAGAACAGAACCATACCGCCAATCCAAACTGTATGCTAACTGTCAATCATCTTTGACGATAGTGGTCCTGAAAGAAATGAAAATATAAAAATAGAAAATATTGGTAAATACTACAATAGCACAGAAATCATTTTCAAGTAACCCTTGTACTTCTTGAATCATGTGTGTTTTCTCCCATCAGTTTGTAGAAGTGGAGGGTCAGATCACCTCTCTGGTGGACCTGTACCCATCCCTCCTAAGGAAGGGATACCGGAGAGAAATCTTCATCGCTGTGATCTGCGTCATCAGTTACCTGCTGGGACTCACCATGGTCACTAAAGTAAGAGAGAGCGAGATGGAGGAGTGTGTTTCGTGTTGATTGAATGCTGAATGTGCGTCTGTCTCTCTCAGGGTGGCATGTACGTCTTCCAGCTGTTTGACTACTACGCCGCCAGCGGTGTGTGCCTTCTCTGGGTTGCATTCTTTGAATGTGTTGCAGTAGCCTGGGTTTACGGTAAGTACACTTATTTTTTAGGGAAAAGGCTAATTTAGAATTTTCTACTTTACCCATAAAATCAGGGAATTTCTACTTTATTGACAACAAAAGAAATCAATCCTATTTTAATTCATTTTGTATTATATAAATATCTATTTTATAGAAGAGTCGTTCTAGTTTTAAAGAATATTTTATAATAACTAAAGGATATGTTACAATAACTTTTTATATGAATTTCATAAAATTTTTATTTAACTTTCTTAATTATGTAAGAAAAAAACGTTCATAACTATAATATATTCCTAATATATATATACACTAGTGCTAGACTAGATGGGGTTTCAATAAAAGAGGCAAAAAATTAAATGGTTTTGAAAATTCCCTTATATTTCAAAAGTTTGAAATAGTTTGGGGACAATGCAATTTTTTTTATTAAAGAAATTTATCTTTTTATTCAGCAAGGATGCTATAAATTTATCAAAAATGACAGTAAAAGACATTTATAATATTACAAAATATTTATTTTCAAATAAATGGTCTTGGTGGTTGCTAGTCAAAATGAATTCCTAATTTTAAAATATATTAAAACTGATTTTTTTAATTATAATAATATTTCTCAATATTATTGTTTTAACTGTATGTTTGATCAAATAATTCAGTCTTGAGTATAAGTGACTTTCAAAAACATTTAAAAAATCTTACTGACCCCAATTTATTGAATGCTGGTCATCTTGTTGATACATAAAAGAGCTTATGGCTGTTATGCATCACATACCCAGATACACAAATCATCATTAAAATCACCAAGGTTTCAAGGTATTTGTGGCCTTAAAGAGTCATGTAATAAAACACTGTAAACAATCATAAACACACACTACATGCACAATTATTAAACGGGTGTCTCTTCAAAAACAGATGCTGCGGTCACTTGTATTTACAGCATAAACCCTGAGCTCATCTTATGATCTCTGTATTAAGCTCATTAATGTTGCTCAATCAGCAGTCTAACAATGTTTGTTGAGATTAATCTTATATAATCACATCAGTCCTCTGGGCTTATTTCACATCTCTATTTTTCACCCATGACTGGCCCCACATGAAATGAAGACCATAATAAAGACCACAGCACAAATCTTGACTGCATGTGTGTGTTTGCAGGGGCTGATAATTTCTACGATGCTATAGAGGACATGATCGGCTACAGACCCAACAGCTGGATGAAATGGAGCTGGATGCTGATCACTCCCGTCCTTTGTGTGGTAAGTGTGAGAAGGAATGCAAGTTTTGCTTGAGAAATATGGCCAACAGCAATAGTTTTTTATTCTTCTCATTTTTCCATTTCAGGGTTGTTTTGTCTTTTCATTGGTGAAATACAAGCCACTCACCTATAACAAGTTTTACGAGTATCCTGATTGGTCCATTGGATTGGGTTGGGCTCTTGCGCTGACTTCTATGATTTGCATCCCGATGATGGTCGTCATCAAAATCATCCAATCAGATGGCTCCCTGATAGAGGTGAGAAAGTCATGAGCTGCATGTAAAACACGTCAAACATACACATCTATTGGCATTTTGATCATATTTTTATTAGAAAATTACAATATATCTGTGACATTAGGATGATTCTCAAGTTATGCCGAGTTCACACTGCACGATTTTAGCCCGATTTTTCACTCGCTGACAGGTTTTGCGAAATCGCCGACAAATGCCCGACATCGGAGGCAAATCGGTGCTCGTTCACGCGAGTGACAATCATGCAGTGTGAATTATCAAAGATGCGATCTGAGGGAATCGCCGTCACGTCGCCGACGCCCGTGAAATATTTGGCATGCTAAATATCTGGAGCTGTCGGCGATTCACAATCACGCTGTGTGCAATGATTTCTGACTGAAAAACACATCGGGGATGACCTACAGCCAATGAGAGAGCACGATACAGGGCAGCGGGAAGTTCAGGGAGGAGTTATATGAAACGTAGTTTGCGGACCAGTGTTGCCAAATCCACGATTGCCGCCGGTTGTGTTTTATGTCAGCAGGTTGAAGCGACCCCAATGACGTGATATTTAGGCCCTGGAATGTGAATTGTACCAGGAGAATCCCGCCAAAAATTTTTTTTATTTTACCCCCCAAACGCGGGGGACCCCCTCGAAAGCAATTGGGCTATTTTCAGGCTAGTTTTGAGTAGTAATTGGGTGGGTTTTGTAGCTAAAACCTGGCAACCCTGCACCAGACAGAGCTGTCGGCGATTCTTTCTATTGTGAAGTCATGCAGTGTGTAACCTCCTGTCGCCGATCCATCGTGCAATGTGAACACAGCAGCAACTGAATGCTACTAATATTTATATATCAAATATATAATATTTGATATATAAAAGGTATATGTAAAAATTTTATTAAAAAAAAAAAAGTTCTACATTTAAAGTATATTATAATAGCTTAAAGGTTTTATTTAAATTTTATTTATTTAAATGTATTTTTAATTTTATTTAACTTTTTCTTAAACTTTAAAACAGTTCATTCTGACTTTTGTATTGTTCACGGAGAAAACCATTCTAGTTTTAAAGGATATACAGTGGGGAAAAAAAGTATTTAGTCAGCCACCAATTGTGCAAGTTCTCCCACTTAAAAAGATGAGAGAGGCCTGTAATTTTCATCATAGGTATACCTCAACTATGAGAGACAAAATGAGAAAAAAAATCCAGAAAATCACATTGTAGGATTTTTAAAGAATTTATTTGCAAATTATGGTGGAAAATAAGTATTTGGTCAATAAGCAATTCTATATTTATAGATCATATTTACATTACATTATATATATTTTATTAAATATTCTTTAATTTTCTCTTAATTTAAGGGGAAAAAAAACTAATTCTGAATTTTCTACATCACCTATATAATACATGTTTAAAAAAATTAAATCAACTTTTTAATCATATTTTAATTACGTTGGTATAATAATAAATAGATAATTTCTAGAGTCATTCTAGTTTAAAATGATCTATTATAATAACTTATGGCTTTTTATTTTAATTTACTTTCTTTTTTATTTTAATTTTATTAAACGTTTTATACAATTTTCTAAACTTTTAAGAAAAAGTAAATGTAATTCAGATGAAAAAACAAACAAAAAAAACAATAAACAGTTAAATCTGTGAATATATTTTCATTAAGTTAGTATTGTAAACATAGATACTGGTTTTCCAAACAAACAAATAAAAAAAATAAATAAAAAAAATCATACAAATATTTTTGATTTTAGATTCAATTTGAATGCTGTTCAGTTCTGGGCCATTATCAGCTGTTATCTAAATAGCTACTGTCTGTCACTGTATTTATAAATTTGAATATGTCCTCAAATCAAATAATGCGTTGTGTTCAGCGGATCAAAGCCGTGGCTGCACCAGTTAAAGGAGGCGCGAGCTCTCGCCCAAAGGAGTACAGCCTGAAGAACAGCGAGCTGCTTCACCCGCTGGACCCCAACGGCATCCACGTCTTCACCAAACACAGCCACACCATCGTAGAAACTACTATGTGAGGCTCTCTAAGAGAGATTCCCGTATTCTCCAGCTCCTGTCCTCTCCTATGGGAGATCCCGTTTTTCCTGTTGTCCCGCTCCCTTCCCCACCATTCCTCTCTCTCGCTCTGCACTAGTGCGTTTTTATGAAATGATCTTATATCAATATATCTTTTTTGCCATGTAGGATTTGTATTCTGATTGTGTATTAGCATTAATGCTGATATTGTAATAACCTGATGTGAGCTTTAGCCGTCTGGGGCGGTTTGTTTAATCTGTAGTGCACTGTTTCACATTAAACCACGTCCTAACCAGGAACGACACAGGATTTACTGCTCATTGCATTACGATTTCTTTCGTATCAATCAGAGTTTTGATCCTAAACAACCACAATGAGACATTTTGCTTTCTATTTTGGTCCCGTCACTCTGAATAGCCCCGCCCACAGTAATATTTTTTTTATTGAAATCTTAAAATGTAATTCAAATTAAAATGAGAACATTTATTTTATTTTTAATATTATTTTTAAGTGAATTCAGACTTTTCTATGGAAGCCCATTTCTGCCACTGAATAACTTTTTTTTTTTTTTTAAAAAGGTTATTGCGACTTTTTTTCACAGAATTGTGAGATATAAACTCACAATTCGGACTTTTTTTCTCACAATTGCGAGTTTATATCTCTCAATTCTAGGGTTGGGTATCGTTTTAATTTTATCGATTCCTAGTTTCGATTCCAATAAGATAAAAAAATGCAATATAAAAAAAATTAAGTCAAACATTTCTGTCTTTTTACAAAGCATTCTGTTGCAGCTGAATAACACGAGCAAAAATCAGCAGCCTACAGAACATTAATCACATTAAAATGCAAACGCAGGAATCATTAAGCAGAATCGAAATGCACGCGTCTTATCGAATACCCGGTTCTTGGAAATTTGGAACCGGTTTTTGATACCCAACCCTACTCAATTCTGACTTAACACGCAATTGCGAATTAAAGTCCAATTTTGAGGGGGGGTGGTTTTGTCTTTCCACAACTGAATAAAAAAATTAAAACAAAAGTCGTAATTACCCTTTTTATTCAGTGGCGGAAATGGGCTTCCATACTTTTCTACTATTTAAAAATACTTAAAATCAGGAAATTTCTACTTTCTTTAATAATGGGTAACATTTAATTAATTCAGATTTTAATTAATTTGATATGGTGTATATATAGATACCCTTTTTGTAAAAAAATTTTTTTTATATAAATTAGTTTTAGATTAATTGTGAATGCGGTTCACACTAAATCTAAAACAATTTTAAAATAGGTTTATAATATCATCAAAAATTGAAGTTCTGGGCCATACCAAAAATAAATATTGGCTATCATAATAAATTCTACATCACTGCTTTATTTTTATAATATTCTTGAATACCACTTCACTCACTCAAATAAATGAATGCAATGGCACAACGAAATCTGATTGGTCCAAAATCCTGCTCCACATAGATTTATCATCGATTATATTCTGATTTAATGGCTTTGCATGGCATTTGACTTTCTGTGAGGACTTTTACTGTGTCGCACCTGGTTAGGATGCAATTCATCAGCAGAGAGAGCGAGTTTTAGCTTCATGTTTAGAAAAAGACTTACTGTAAAACAGCAACGAACTAAATGTGACATAAGCTACATTATGGCGTCCGTCAGTGGTTGTGGCAGTAACTCTTGTTTCGATGAGGTTCTTAAATGTTCTTTGTCTTGAAGAAAAATGAATGTACCTCCGCTTTGAGCGGACGCTGTGCACAGACATGCACAAACACGTAAGACATAAGCAAACCTTAACACTCTGTCCTTTCGTCTCTCCTTGAACCATAGTGATCACTGCCATCACACACACCGAGCCACTGAGTTCCTCTAACACTGTAGGCAGCTGTGTTCACTAATACAAGTATCACTTGATGCACTATTATAAGCGTCATTTACTGTAAGATGATCCGAGAGCAGATGATTATCAACACCACGCAGGGCTGTTTGGCAGCACTTTATTAGCCGTTCATGTACAGCGGGGTCTGAAAGGTCTGAGAATGCTTATATACAGTGGGTACGGAAAGTATTCAGACCCCCTTAAATTTTTCACTCTTTGTTATATTGCCGCCATTTGCTAAAATCATTTAAGTTAATTTTTTTTCCTCAATGTACACACAGCACCCCATATTGACAGAAAAACACAGAATTGTTGACATTTTTGCAGATTTATTAAAAAAAAAAGAAAAACTGAAATATCACATGGTCCTAAGTATTCAGACCCTTTGCTCAGTATTTAGTAGAAGCACCCTTTTGATCTAATACAGCCATGAGTCTTTTTGGGAAAGATGCAACAAGTTTTTCACACCTGGATTTGGGGATCCTCTGCCATTCCTCCTTGCAGATCCTCTCCAGTTCTGTCAGGTTGGATGGTAAACGTTGATGGACAGCCATTTTTAGGTCTCTCCAGAGATGCTCAATTGGGTTTAAGTCAGGGCTCTGGCTGGGCCATTCAAGAACAGTCACAGAGTTGTTGTGAAGCCACTCCTTCGTTATTTTAGCTGTGTGCTTAGGGTCATTGTCTTGTTGGAAGGTAAACCTTCGGCCCAGTCTGAGGTCCTGAGCACTCTGGAGAAGGTTTTCATCCAGGATATCCCTGTACTTGGCCGCATTCATCTTTCCCTCAATTGCAACCAGTCGTCCTGTCCCTGCACCTGAAAAACACCCCCACAGCATGATGCTGCCACCACCATGCTTCACTGATGGGACTGTATTGGACAGGTGATGAGCAATGCCTGTTTTTCTCCACACATACCGCTTA